AAGGTCAGGGGAAAGCCACCATATCTGTAAACTTTCGTTGAAATTGGCTCCATAGTTTTGGAGGAGTTGTCAGGACAAGTATTTTAACAAAGGGCCATTACTTCGTAAAAAAGGGTCAGATCGAAAAAATAATACCTGGATGCACACCATCAGGTGGAAGGGATCATATCTAAAAACTTTCGTTGATATTGACCCCTTAGTTTTGGAGGTCTTGTCCGGACAAGAATTTTTCAACAAAGGGCCATACCTCTGTAAAAAAAAATCAGAATGTAAAAATAATAATTGTATTCATAAAATGAGGTGGTAGTTATCATATCTGGAAACTTTTGCTGAAATTGGTCCATTTCTTTAGAAGGAGTTGTCCGGACAATCTTTTTCAACAAACGGACAGACAAGCTGATTCCAGTATACCCCCTAACTTTGTTGCAGGGGGTATAATAAAGTGTATGCTAGTTTTACTATTAAGATTATTTTATTGTTTTTATATAATTGCATATCTTTGTCTATAACATAATCTCAACCTTAAGTAGATCTCTAGAGTAAAGATTACTTTGGCAGAATACATATTCATGATTTATAACTACTGCAAATAACTTTTAAAAATGCGTAATATAATAAAGTGTTTTGGTATGATACAAAAAACGAAAATGTATCGGTATTTACCATAATAAACAATGATAATCAAATCTTCAAGCGTATGAATAATTAATTATGCAGTTATTGATCATTTTCATGTATCTACATATGGCAAAAGAATAAAAGAAATCAAATTTGGGGTCAAATGTTGATCCCACCTTTGACACTATGTATAGCATCATTAACAGATGTTGTAAATTGTGTTTTGAGGACACACAGAAACCCGAGACTCGTGGCGTGAAGTCTACAGACATATGCAATATGTGACACCATTCTACAGGAACTGCCCAGTTTACTATAATCTCATTTTACACCAAAAGCCTGTTAAACCTCTTGTCATTACCGGTAATGAGTCGGCTTTACGTATCAGTAGGATGTAGGATTTAACGCGCGTGCATCACCGTTGCAATATTGTAGGATTTGACGCGCGTGCATCACAGTCGCAATATTGTAGGATTTGACGCGCATGCATGCGTTTAACGCAAAATAGCAAGGGCCTGTTCGTTTATGCGGAACAACCGGTTTGTCCGCCTTGAAGTATAATTTTTTTCGGGTAGAAGTCCTGGCGGACCTGCAATTGTTCATGCAGGCCTAGCAAGGCTGTGTTAAGGCTCGCCTGAAAGCAGCATCAGATAACTGGGTCCGACCTTATTTAATAAACGAACAACTGTTGTCCGATCAGTTTGATTGTTTAAACGAAAACGTCACTGGAATCCAAATTTTCTGTAGGATTTGACGTGTGATAACCAGAATCAGAAATTATTTTGACGCGAGTTGATGAGAGTCGGAATGTCATTGTATGTTTACGAAGGTACACCATCGTCGGATTGTGTCTAAGATTGTGCGTAGTTTGGTAATTGGTAGGTTGACGTTGCGTTCCAAAGATGGTGCAGAACGAGCACTACTTTCTTATCTAGCCTTTTGTCACTATTTACACGTGCATACAACACTACAGAGCAGGTGTCTGAGGTTGGCGGAACACCTCGCGCGCGTGAACATCACAACGCAGAAAAAAAAACCAATAATGCCTCATTTAAAGGGAAATAACTCTACACAATTCACAGGCATAAGACCTAAGGGAGATGAAGGTAACGTATTTTCTTAACGATGCGCTAGAAGTTCTCTGATCTGTAAAGCTGCGTCCGTAAACGTCCTCTTGTTACGAAAGAAATATTTGCAACAAAAACAGTACGTCATACGATCAAGGCAAATTAAAATGACACCTGCTTTTCTTTGAAAGTATTTCCTTTCAAAGAATGCAGCTATCGTATTATTTTACGTTTTAAAATTTAAGTCATCAGTAAAACTAATATAAGTGCTTTTCTTAGGTCTTTATATCTATTTAGAATTTCTGGAAGTATTATCAACATCATATTTCATCGGACAGAAGAATTCAAAGATTTCGTTTTCCATAAGCGAATGTGGTAATGCTTTATAGGGTAGGTGTTCAGACGGCGGAGCGGTGCTAACTGGCACTCAGACTCCGGCACCACACTGCACGGCTAATAATAATAGTTCTATCAAGTAATTCTGATTTACAATCTGGCAGCTATCAGCGAAACCTGTATATATGACCAAATGACCTGATTCTAGTATCTGCCGTAATCTCAGAGTGAGGCGCTGATTAGCTAGACATGCCTAGCTGCACCATCATACCCCCCCCCCCCCCCCCCCCCTTTTCAAAAATAAAAAATTAAAATAAAATATCGTAATCTGCTAATATTGTATTGAATATGGAAATTTAACATATTCATTAATTAAAAACATACTCTGATTTCTTTTTATACTGATTCCCCCATCCGAAGGGTGATCCGTAAAATTTCGTTTCTCCGCCGTATTCGACTCTGCGATTAGTAAGGGCATGCTCGACTTTATTTCCAAACATCATGAAAGTTATCTTCTTACTTGCTTTGACGAGCGTCACGTCAAGCTCCACCGAAAGAGCTAACTCATCACTTAAGTTGATCAAGAATTATTTGAGAAGCACCACGAAGGAGGATCGTCTAAATGCTCTGCTTCTTCTTTATGTTCACAGAAACATTTAACTCGATTATGATAAAATAATTGACGATTACGCCATGAGAAATCCGCGTAATATGGTTCTAATGAATCCACTCTAGTCCAACCATTCATTGAAAATGAGAGTCCGTCAGTATTTCTGTGTTCATTTTAGGTTTAGCGTTAAGGTACATTTATACTAGTAACATGTATATTTGGTATAGCATTTTTACTTCCCATCTGGATAGCCTTTGGTATAGTATCATATTGTTTCAATATCCATTAGTGAGTTACTAAGTGACATTGACCTACATTTTGCCATGAAGTGCAAGCACCATATTTATTTATGTACCATATACCACCTATCGGAACTAGACAGTGACATGATTGCTTTAATTTAGTACTGTAGTACAATGACGTCAATTTTTCATATTCAATCATGTATTCCACATTAAAGTCTATAATATTTAGAACGAAAGAACTTTATACTTCAGTGTTTGTCTTGTATCATGTGTGTCGTCCAACGACACCAGAACCTAATCTAAAATAGAGAGATATTTATCAGTCTGGTTACTTCATAATTTGATGCTAAATTGTTGAAATCTAGGAGCTTCTGAGCTACCCCATGAACCCTCTACCAGCGCAACCGTAATTACGCCTCCCGTTCATAAAATCCTGGCCTAGGACTATTGAAATGTTAAGTATGCCTAACGCCTTACACTCTAGAATTTGGAATTTCTCGTTATTGGTCTACTGCTGTTAAGATCCATACAATCATTTTAATATACCATAGACAATTAATGGAGAGAATTCGGCATAAAAAATGTCAAACCCTGACACTTAAACTATAAAATATACATGCTCCAAGTCAGGAACCGTTACATTAGTGCATTTCACAATTATGTTATGTTTCTTAGCAAAAAAAAGGTCCAATTTTTAAGCCTCGCTCCGCTCGTCGAAAGATTTGATTCTACGCCCCCTCTTTCAAATATCCTAGAAACGCCCCTGAATACAATAACCACTGTATAAGATACAGCAATGTGACATAGTACGGTACAATTAGTAGCGGGTCGCTGGTTTACTTGGAAAGTAAACGTTCTGGGCGATGTTCTACAAGGGAGAGAAAACCATATATGACGGGGATGATATACCGTGATTGACATGACGCGGTGTACGGCCGTGCCGTACGTGATACGTGGCGAAGTTACGTCATACACCGTACACCATAATTAACTGTGACGGACGTGACGTGGTGCTCAGTGTCACAGTAATCACCTTCGTTGCTATATATTATGTTTTAGTGTATGTCACGTGACGCCCGTCACGCACAGAGACATACATTTAGCCAACTCTAAAAATAAGATGCTGCAGGTTCTCTTCATCAATGGTATGATTAGTTCTAGTCCGAAAATAGCTCAGTTTTTCAGAACTGTGATGTCCGGGACATGCTGGTATTGAAAGAAAGATTCGAGACTGCAGATCTATTTTAGGAAAATATCGAATGGATTAGCATTTGATGGCCTTCTTCACAGCAGACGTCCACAGTGAACGACGCTGTACGTGCAAACTTAATTACCTGTGTTGTTACCAGTGACGTCACTTTGACTGTTAGCGCGTAACCCATATTAGTTATCCATTGATTTAATTGGCAAAATAAGGTGGAATCACTAAAATATGGAACACATTTTCAAAGGAGCACTGCATGCTATAACGGATGGTCGTGCTAAGTTAACTTTCGTACATGAAACTCGCACGTGGACTTTTGGATGAGTATTGCGAACAACGCTGTGCTATATATTTGAATTCAATAGCTAAATCCTTATCTCTATAGGTAAAAATAGGTAAGGTCGGTTATGATTGGTAGCTTTATATCACTAGAGAAAAGATTACCGGAATGTATTGCCAATTCATTCGAAGTAATAAATAGAGAGGAGGGAATCCAAACCAGGCAATTAATCTAACGGAACTGCAGTGCACGGCGCAATAATATCCTCTTGTTATATTTAGCTTCCAATCAGACTTAACCTTACAAATATATACATTGTGAACGTATACTTTAAGAAGGTGAACAACTTAGGTTATGCCAGTGCAACCACTGATTTGTCCGTTGTCAGAACAGTATAATGTGACCGGGGGTACTATTGTGCTTGGTACATTCGGCAAGGCATTTTAGTGAGACAGCACTATAACGTCGGCAACAGATCCGCGCTATCACCAGGAGGCAGCTACGTGTACTCCAACATATCGTCTGCAGCACACACGCATAATTAAACACATAGATACATACCTTTGAAATACAGAAGTTAATAATAAGACAGCAAACAATGTAAACAAACCAAAACCTACAACTCATATGCTTAACTTACTTGTGAGAGGCGACAAGACAATGGTTGTCCTTCCCAGAGGGGAGCCGAGGGAGCGGGATGGGACCCCACATCTGTTGGATGTGTTCGGGAATGATACAGAAGCGAGGCTCGTAGTTACCGTTTTTGAGGAAGAGAATGCAAGGCCCTGGCTTGCTCTGGACCTGTACATCTGCCGTAAACGAGACCTTGAGGTTGCGTTCCTCGTCCAGCATGACCGTCTCGTTGATCTTTGTGTCCCCACGGTTCAGGTTCTCCACCACCGGAAGCATGTGGAACACGTTTTGTGCCAGCTGCTCCGAACTACTGAAACACATCGGCCGCAACATTTGAACAAGTTTGAATTTGATGCAGTTGTACAACTTCGTGTCAAAGCAAAATGCACTTCCGCTCTTCTTTCTTTCCCATTCCCTTCCTGGTCCCTTGAATGACGTTATGGACGGACCTTCCTTCTCACTGGCCACAAAGTGAATCTTTATCTTAAAGTTCTTAAGTTCCTCAGGAAGTCCCTCAACCTGCATCCGGTCGAGGTGAATGTTTGCCTTCTTTGTTGAGAATGAGAACATTTCGTCTAAGGTGATTGGTTGAAGGCCTGACGGGGGGTCGCCCCGGTACATGGCGCCGAATTCGCTAAAGTTCTCATGGAAAGTCTCCCGCCACAGTTCTCTGGTCCTTTTATCGGCCTGGTTCAACTTTGACTCCATATTACGATCATTGACGGAGTCGTCGTGGTTGAACATTTTGCCTAGAACGCGTGTAGTGTCCTCCTTGTAGACGATGGGGTGTAACTGATGGGAGTGCCAAATTAGATCCATGTCGTAACACGGAACTAGAAAGACTCGCGGGTTTTGAAGTTTCAGATAAAGCATCTTTTGGTAGCGTTTCACAGCATGTTTAAGAAAAACGCGATCGCAATAATGAGGGAGGGACACCTGGTAGGCGAACACACGCTGACGCAGGGCTGCCTCACTTACGTTGTAGGAAAGTTTAGATGCCTCATCCAGCACGAAATCCTCACATTCAGGTAAGCTGCCATTTTTATTGCGGATTTCTAAGTCAAATTTTTCGTTTGGATATTTGGACGTCCATAACTGTTTGGTAATGTCTAAGGCCTTTTCCCTCTCTTTTTCTGACAAAACTTTATGGTTTACAGTAAACCCTACCACGGCTTTACAGTCCTCTTCGTAACTCAGCGGAGCAAGCAGGTGACAGTGCCACACCCACTCTATGTCAAGGGGAGCTACCAGCGTCTTTTCGACATGCTCCGCCGCTAGGGGGAGCCACAGCTTTTCATAACGCCAAACCGCACGACGCAAAATCGTACCGTCATAGAGACTGCGGTTCCGGTCAACCTGTTGTAGGAAGGCTATTTGCTTCAGAGCACTTTCCACTAGGTCCACGCCAAACGTAATCTTCGACTGGAAGTTCTCGATGGAAATGTCCGATATTTCATCCATGATGACAGAACCTGAAAATATTCAAAACAAAATACAGATCTTACAGACTAAGTCTGGGACAAGTTCTATGTTTAAATAGGAAACAAATGAATGATTTGTCGACATGAAGCAGCAAACAGATTTGCTAGCCACACTAGCGCCTTTGTTGTACATATGACAGCCACACTAGCGCCTTTGTATATGACAGCCACAGGTTCCTTGTTGCAGTTATAAAATAGACACTTCATTGAATTTACATTAATAGGATTGTACACGTATAACACACAATATATATAATAAACATTAACCAGAAGAAAAGTTATGAAATACTTACATGTTTATTCAATAAATAGGTCTATAACAGTAATGCAAATGACGCAACACTAATCGGAAACCATTTCATTACATTCATGTCGCTATATTCACATCTGTGCTACAACTCAATTTACGAACCATGAACCATGCATGACAATTAACGAAATGGTATCAGTGTTGCGTCTTACGAGAAATCACCACGACAAGCGAACACTTATGGTGGTGTTACGCTTACACTGACACACGGTAATGTGGGGTTAAGCTGTTCCAGGAATACCGCTTACACTGACCCACTGCAATGTGGTGTTAAGCTGTTCCAGGAATACCGCTTACACTGACCCACGGTAATGTGGGGTTTGGTAATTACAGTGACCTCCCCTTTAATTTCGTTTTTGGCAACACACTTCCGTTGACCAGATCTCTGTCGGTAACAGCGGCAGACTAACAGGCTGGAGTCCTGGGTTTAAATCTCGGTGTAGCCCCGCTGAATGCTAACACTCAGGACACTGTTATTGATTATATAACGCATATTAATTTTCATCTTTATTATATATGCACATAAAGTCTTGCAATGTATGTTTTTTTTTTTTTCAGAAACGATTTATCAAAGTGATGGTCATTTCGCCAAAAAAAACACTCAATTTGTGTCGTTACAGTAACACATGCACGTACGAGTATCCTTAAGACGTCTACACTGAAACACGGACGGAGATTGGTATTGTTGTCCGTCACGGTGCTATGTATAAAGACTGGCGAAGTGAACTGCCGATGTCTTAAAGTCACGATTGAAGTCGATCTCTTCATTTTGATGTTATATCATAACGTGTCACTGATGATTTATTGGAGCATGTCGATGTGTCATTTGTAATGTATTTTTACGCAACAAAAAAATCAATTCCAAGTTCGTTTTTTGTTTTTTATCCATTTACGTCCCATTGAAGCCTACCATACCCATTAAACCCTATCATGCCCTGGAGCTATGTACCATACCCATATATATACATATATATGTCAGTTAAACATTTTCAATAATAAAAACGGTATTCGTTAAACTTTAGGACAAGCGTTTATACTCGATGGTCGGTAAAGGATCTGTTCACGTTCAGAATGACAAACCGGAAATACATCTGAACTTCCCAGGGTCAAAGGGTACATAAGGGACATTGTAGTTTCCGGTACCGGTAATTTTTACACGTTAACATTTATGGTTATATGCATGCTGTTATCTGTTAATTGCTTCCGTAAATTTATAACAAACGCAATAAAACACCCCACACTGGAAATACTGTGCTGTCAAACACGAAAACCTCACTGGGGCTCACGTGTACTGTCACAGATCAATTGTGGGTCACGTGTCCCGTCACAAAACTCACTTTAGGGCACGTGTACTGTCACAAATCTTACTGAGGTCACGTGTATTGTCACATATCTCACTGGGGTCACGTGTCCCGTCACAAATCTCACTTTAGGGCACGTGTACTGTCACAAATCTTACTGAGGTCACGTTTTCTGTCACAGATCTCACTGGAGTCACGTGTCCAATCACCAAGCTCTCACTAGGGTCACGTGTCCCGTCACAGACCTTACTGGGAATATGTATTAACCGTTAGGTTGATATATATTGCTTCATACTTATAGAGATCCCTTATTCCTTAAAGGTAATATTGGCACCATACTCCTTATATGGTAAAAGTGGCACCTATGAACGACCCCATTTTATACCTGCTGACGATGAGTTATCTTTTTGGTTCATGTTTCGGTTCACGGTAACAGTATATTTTATTTGTTTTTGTCGCTCCGATTCTGACCCGATTATTCTGGACATATTGTGCTGCACTGCCATAGTCTCCCTAATGAAATAACACACGTTTATTTCAGCTACAAATTCATTTTTAATCTTATTATACGGAGGATTACCTACCCGTATGGCGGTACAAACGGAGATCTTCTCTGGTGACACGGAGACATTTGATGTATCACTGACTAGCGTGGAAGTACTTTGAAGAGACGTACACATGTAGTTCACGCGGTGACACCCCGGTACGCGGAGTGTTTTAGTAACAGGTACAAATAAAACGCGTACGAAAGTATCACAGCAATAAGTCGTCCGACAATTTCACTGCTAAGTACTTTAATTAGGTTTTACTTTAATGCAGAACATGGTATACATTTATTTATGTGCAATCTTTTGTTTGATGAAATGTTCTTTCTTGTGTAAATGTGGAATGTCGGACCACGCTCGGCTATTTCCGTGGAATAATTTCGGAGGTAGGCAGAAGATATGTTGGTATCACTTTTGATCACATGACATAAAGATGGCAGCTTACTACTTGTCATCAGAAGAGACGAAATGTACGCTGCTTAATGCCACCAGTGGCAAGAACGCCTTCCGGGATATCTAAACGTTTGCGGAAAGATTTACAGATCGTGCCTTAAAACTCTGTAGAAATTACACATAATCGTAATCTACATCTTCTCCAATCAGGTCCCACGTGTATTTATCTAAATACATATAGTAGTCTTGTTTTAAACAACTATTTTATCAAAGCAATATCTGGTTTCCTAAAATGTTTATATTAATTCATATTCGTGTTAATTTTTTCATTTGCAACATGTCTAAATTATTATGTCTCCTTGTTTATTCCACTTTGGCCATTTGACGGAGAGAATTTATATAGGCTTTGCCTGTTATTCAATCCAATTGATTACGACATCTTGTCAATAAAATTTGATGAAATGAAATGAAATTCATCTTCGAGAAATTTTAGATATACATGTATGTTTCATTTTGTTTTTCGGATTTCTATTATGCCTCATTACCTAAGAAACTTCCACTAACATTCTTATCTGTCTGTCTGTCTGTATGTCTGTCTGTATGTATGTCTATAAAGTGTAATATTTACGTACATAGAACCCTGCTATTTAGGCAGTACACCGGTAAGGTACATCACACTCTGTTACATAGGCTGTTACGGCTACTACGGGTACCTGAAGTGTTATTAAAACAGGCTTACTACGAAACATGTATATATATATAAAAGAGAACTTTGTTTAATAAGTTACACTTCCAGATCCTGGATCAACAAACGCCATTCGTCTCATTACGCTACAATACAAGCTTTGACGGGGTTTTGCATGCATACATACTTTAGTAATAAAAATGTCCACGCAATACCCGATACAGAATATTGAAAACATTTAAACATTCGGTATTTTGACATTCTATCTGTAAATTTGCTTCTGATGAAAATCAAGAATGAACACGGAACAATCAATGAGTGTTACGTTTTATGGTTTTAACGACTGCCGTGTATTTTACTATTTACATGTAACGTCTGTGCAGCTTTGAATTGTGAATATCCCGATACAGAAATAAAACAAACGCCCAATTGGCCCTGGAAGCCATTGATCAAAGCAGACATGCCCGTGGCATTGTTGTGTGACGTCACTGCGGGTTCCAGATCTAATAATGTAAACCTTCGTCAGTTAAGTTAATCCATCACGGTATCGGTCCATTTATCAAAGCCACAAGTTGCCTTTGGCAGCAGATTTGTGTTCGACAAACCACTTTCTATCTGATTTATTCCTACGACAGAGATGGATTGACCTGCAGTAATTGAATAGAGGCAATATAAGCAAAACCGTTATGTTACAGTTACGTCCTGGGTTGTGTACACACGGCCTTCCGGGACAGGCCGGCACCATTCCACGGCCTTCCGGGACAGGCCGGCACCATTCCACGGCCTTCCGGGACAGGCCGGCACCATTCCACGATCTTCTGGGACAGTCTGCATCATCAACGCGACATCTTGTATTTGGCGGGATATGTCTGGCGTCGTACAGTGCATCGTACACACGGACGTGTCAAGTCTGGTGTCGTTTATATATGATATAGAGGGACATGTCCAGCGTCGTACAAAGTCTGGTGTCGTTTATATATGATATAGAGGGATATGTCCAGCGTCGTACAAAGTCTGGTGTCGTTTATATATGATATAGAGGGATACGTCCAGCGTCGTACAAAGTCTGGTGGAACAGGTATGCGCCGTGCGACGTCGTTTACATACATGAATTGGCAGGACACGTGCGTGTCGTACAAAAAGTCTGGTGGAACAGGTATGCGCCGTACATACGTGATCTAGCGGACCACGTACGACGTCGTTTACATACATGAATTGGCAGGACACGTGCGTGTCGTACAAAGAGCGCGCTAGCACGTCTCCCAGAGTCATACAAGTTCAAGTTCAATTTGTTTATTTAAGTGTCACATATCACAATTACATTTATGTTCATTAATACATATAAAATACTTGAACAAAACATAAATCAATTCCATTGGTACATATAAAATACTTGCAGTTGGCTGTTTCCTAGAACTTAAAATAGTTTGTTTAACATAAAAACCCCCCAAAAAAAACACTTGTAATAGGGATCAATATCGACATTAGATTATTGTGAGACTACCCTTCTTATTATTATTAACATGGAGGTTGCAGTGACTCAAAGTTCGCTATCTTAGGGTTGGGGAGAGCCCTACCAGCGAAGACAGGTCGCTCTGCGCCACTGCAATCATATGATGTAACTTTAATTTTTTTTTTTTTTTTTTTTATCAGTTTAAAAAAAGGAATAACAGGTTAAAAGTAATTGAGAAATCGATTGGCTCCAAGCGGTTGGGGAGAGCTCTACCGGCGAGGGCTTCTTGAGGTCCCTTCTTAAG